CTCAAAGCCCAAAAGGTACCCCATTTTTTTGCCAAGAATTCCAAAATGTTCTTAAAACAGTTGTAGCAGTTCTCACTTTAAAAAAAATAAAATGAGGATGTTAATAAATTCAAGAGAGACGATAGATTACTAGCCATTTCAGAATTCATCCATTTTTTATGGCTTTGGTCACAACAATGAGTTTAAATTAGCGTCGAAATTAAAGTCCAAATTATCATCTGTCTGTTTAGCCCATGATAATTGCACATACTCAATTTTGGTAACTAGTTACTGCAAGAAGAATGGTTCCAATCCAATGTTGCTACATTCACTACATTGAACAATCCATTTTGTCAAAATGGAAGATTGCAGGATGCCTATGAGGTTTTTGATATAATGATTAAAATTTTGTGAATAAAATGGTTGATAATCAAGTTTTTGATATGATAGCTTGCAATTTGTTTTGTTTTGAGATGGAAGTGGAGGTGGGGATTGGTGGGGAAGGTGGAGGCGGAGAGTGGTAGCGGCGGGGAGATGAACAAATCCTTTATTATTATTTTTTTAATTGTTTTATGTGAAAAATTAATGTATTTACCATTTTGTGCATTTTAGATTTGATCAAAATCAATTTTATTGGTCAACTAACGGTCAAATAGATGTTTTCCATTCATTTGGACTCCAACTGCATGTTTATGATATGTTTGGGACATTCGCCGACACAAAATGAATGTTAGGGACTGCTGCTGCATTTTTCCCTTAAATTAAAGGTTGTCAAACCTGGAATAAGTGACATATACAGTTGGGTGCAAAAGAACAGTCTGATTAATTATCAACAAAATCCATGATGTCAACTAGGAAGTGCAAACGGTTGGAGTAACAACTTCTACCTACCATTTTCCAAATCAACCAGAATTTTTTTTTTAAAAAAATCATTAATTATTTAGTATATTAAATTAGAATAAAAAAGATGAAATAACTACCTAAAGAACAGGAAGTCTGATTAACAAATTACACAAAAAAATTGACGACATGAATCGATTCTACTTCACCAAATTTGGCACAAGACATCTATCTACCTAACTTCTATGACAATAATCCACACATGAAGTGTTTTCCAAGCATCAACATTTTCTTAGTGCATGCAAAGAAAATATCGGAAAATGATTAAAGGTATGTATGACAAAGCATTTTGTCGATTATAGGCTGCTCAAACGCCATTGTTATCCACATACTTCGTATGACCCACGATTTATAATGCACGGTGTCAACTCGCACTATCCAAACAAAGGCTTCAGGTCCATAGGGAAGCCGGAAATATTGTATCACTGCAAGTTCATTCGATTCTATATACAGTAGAATAGAAGTGTTTGACTTGGAAGTAAAATAATTATTCTCAACGGAAAAGCATTGTTCACATGAGCATCTAAAGAAATCATCGTGCAGGAGGTAACTGGGATGTTCATTGTTGTACAGAAAGGAAAACAAAATACATTGTCAAGAAAGTTCGCACAGCAAATATTCAAACACATCACATTCATTAACTGAACAACGGTCAAGGGAAATCGGGGAAAAAAAATAAAAATGAAACAACAATCATTCAAGAACATTCGACAAGGATTGTGCTGTCAATATCTAAGGAGTAGCATCATTGGTGTATCATTACACATTATGGCAAAAAATGACTTGGTAAGATTTATACTTACCATGAGAGCCCTTACCGGAAGGATACATTGAATTCACTCTTAAGAGTATTTAAAACAATAAAGCCCTGTTTGATTACAACGAATTCCATGGAAAATATCACATTTGAGGAAAACGAATTCCACTTTGATCGTTTGATTGCAATGTGGAAATGAAAATCGAATTCCAAGTTATAACCACTTTAAACTACAGTTTTTTTTCATGGAAAACAAATTCCTATAAGTTTGATAAGTTTTTATTTTTCAACTAACATGAAATTTGAATTCCTTTCCACACCTATCAAACGGACCCTAATTTCTTGCCCATAAAAAGATTGGCTATTCTAAATGGGCTAAAATTGCATTGACCTAAGTATTTTCCTTTCCAAATGGAAGTTGGAAGCTTATAATATTGTAATAGGAATAAGAATAATTCCTTAAGTAAAGGAAATGTTGCCAGAATTTTGAATTGGAAAAATCCTGAGCGTGTATCTGTGTTTTCCCTCCTCCATATTTGAATCCAGTCCATCCATTCCAAATTTCTGTGTGTATTCTGTGAAATTTCACTGTACTTGCACATAGTTCTTAGGAATAATATAGAACAAATATAAAACCCACATGGCCAAAAAAACAAAAGCTCCTTTACAGTGGTGCAAACCGACTACATATTATTCAAATCTCAGAATGAAGTAGAGGAAGAAATGTATTTACCTCATGACACATGCAACACAACTTGGATTGCATAAAACATTTTCTTGTGATGCCATCATCAAGCATCAACCATTTCACCCATGATAGACAGGAAATCGATAGAAAAATGTTAACAAGGCTAGGAAAACATATGGAGGATATCCGACGTTAAATTAACTTAAGCATAGCATTTCAAAACTGATTGTGTTAGGAAACATCGAAGACTCTACTTCCATAAGCACTTGTCAAGTACCCTTTTTTTCAATGTTGTTCGAGTTTTTCCTAGAAGTACCACATGGATTACTTTGAATAGTTATAGCGGCCCATAAGCACGAGATATACCTTGTGGAGGGGGGACGATCCATTCCACAGTCCTTTCATGCAGTGACTGTTTGTTCCATGGTCTATTTGATGGTCAATGCTAAGTCAAAATATTAGAAAACATTAATTCCGCTAATTCGTGTCCTTCGCTTCAGTGCTTGTCTCTCTGTATGATCAGTTTTCCATACCATCGGGCTTTTCTCAAAATAGTGATTACATCTACGGGATTTAGTATGAAATCAATGAGATTGATATTCAAAATTTCCTTTGACCCCATAAGCGGAACCAAGCATGTTGATGCCAAAACCAGGTGCCCGTATTTCTTGTAAAGAATTT